AGGGGTTTGGGTTTAGGGTTTGGGGAACGCACTAGTTGTATTGTTGTTCTCTCTTTGCCAAAAGGAAGATACAAACTACCAACAGTCTGCAATAGGGGAACTGATCAAAGGACCCTAGTAATATAGACACAGGCAGTAAGACTTGTATGATACGAACCTCCAAAAACGACGCGCTAAACCCTAAACCGCTTAAACCCTCATACAGCAGGATTAATGCCCCACAGGAGCCAATATGAGGCACGAGGTTTCAGAAAGCCAACGTATATGGGTAGTTCTCTGAAATTGGGTCCCGTTTCAAGGGTCCTCTTTTCAAGGGTGCCGCGCTATTTTGCGGACCTAAGAAGGGACCCTAGCATAGGGAATTGCCCGCACCTGCTTGACATTGCTTGACTGTACAACCTAAACCCTCAACCCCCTAAACCCTTAAACCGAGGAAAATGTTGGTGGAAAGACTGCCAAGAGGCTGTCGATGAGGTCCCGGTTTCAGAAGTTCCACTGCGTAGGGCTGGGATTTGGGCTTGAGCCGTCTGGGGTTTCTTTATATAAAGGGTACTAATATGTAGGGGCCTGAATAATTAGAATAAGGTTTTGGGGGCTCCTTATGGTAATTACAGTAGAATATGCCCCCAAACCCTATTCTAATTATTAAGGCCCCTATATTATACGGTTTCAGGGTTCCTTAAAGGGTACTGTGAGGTTGTAGGGTTCCTTACAAATACTATACGGCTTTAGGGTTCTAGGAATGGCGCTATGGGGTTTTAGGGTTCCTTAAAGGGTACTGCAAGGTTTTAGATTTCGGGTTCAGGGTTTGGGGTTCAGGCTTAGGGGGTCTAGTCTAAGGTTTAGGGTTCAGCAGTTTAAGTTAAGGGCAGCTTAGCATGAAGAGCCTGGCAATATGGTTGATAAGAGGCGGCCCCCTCATGTTGCTGCAAGTTTTCAGGTTGCTATGTCGGGGGAGCTCGGGGAGAAGGAGGAGGTGATCGTGCGCGTGAAGCGTGGTCCGGAGGGGTTTGGGGATGTTAACAAAATTGCCGACGAGATCCTCGACAAGGTGACGCTCCCGCAGGACGTGACTGGGTGGCAATTTGGGAAACTTTAGAATTTCCCTTATGGTTTCTAATGAGGTACCTATTTATAAACACTTTTCAAGGTGAAGGATGCTGTTCGCAACGACATTTGCGAGCTTGGCACGATCGTGCCGCAGCTGTGCTCCTGGTGCCCTTGGACAAATCCGGGAATCCTGAGCTTCTTGAACCCCACTTTACGGTAGGGGTTTAGGGTTTAGGGTGTTTAGGGTGTTTAGGGTGTTTAGGGTTTAGGGTTTAGGGTGTTTAGGGTGTAGGGTTTAGGGTTCCAGGAGTCTACCGCCAGTGTCTGATTTGGGGTTGAGGCCCTACACCTCAAAAACCTGACACAGAGGTGAGTTAAACCCTAAACGACCCCACAACGCCAAACCCTAAACCCTAAAGCCTAAACTCTAAACCCTAAACCCCTAAACCCCTAAACCCCTAAACCCCTAACCCCAACCCCCCCCTCCAACAAAAAAAAAAAAAAACAAGCCCGGAAAAGGTGCGACTGCTTAGTGGTGAAGCTTGAGCTGATCGGAGTCTCGGCACCACAGCATTAGGCTTTTGGGGGGTATGGGTTTAGGGTTTAGGGTTTAGGGTTTAGGGTTTAGGGTTTAAGGTTTAGGGTATTTAGGGGTTTAGGGGTTCAGGGGCTTTGGGTTTAGGGGTTTATGGGTTTAGGGTTTAGGGTTTAGGGCATTAGCCTTTTGGGGTTTACGGGTTTCGCCACTTTTCTGGTGGCCTCCATTGGTGAAATTTATGGTGTTACATGTTCGTTCATAGTTCTTATAAGACCTTGGATTAATATTCCATTGTTGTTAGCAGTTGTTGGCAGTATCAATTTAACACACAAGGGTGCCCTAAACTTCCCCGACCCCTTATTAACCTTAAACTCTTAATATGTAGGGGCTTAAAAAATTACCAATACTATTTGGGGGGTTCCTTATCATATGTATATAGCCTATTGGACCCGAAAACCCTATTCTAATCATTAAAGCCCCTACATTCGGAGTTCTGTGGGCCTATGAGAACAGAACCCCCTAAACTCTAAACCCTAAACCCCTAAACCCCTAAACCCCTACTGTAAATCCCTAAACCCTAAACCCTAAACCCCTAAACCCTAGGAGAAAAGAACTGCAAGCGCTGGCACCGCGACTTCTGGTGCGCTCGCGCCATCGTCACCTATAACTCAGCAGGCGGTGGAGAGGTTTCTTAGGCTAAGGGTTTAGGGTTTAGGGTTGAGAGGTTCAGGTTTTAGGGTTTAGGGGTTTAGGGGCTTTGGGTTTAGGGGTTTGGGGTTTAGGGGTTTAGGCGCTTTGGGTTTAGTGGTTTAGGGGTTAAGCGGTTGAGGGGCTTGGGGTTTAGGGGTTTGTGGGTGAGGAGAGGTTTCGTTTTCTTGGCGTTCTTCTGGCTGGCTCTTAGGACTTTAACTTTTTGGGTTTCTATATGTTTAACTTAAAAAAGGAGGGGTTCAGAAAAAGGCCAGGTTTTGTTAGGAACCTAACGAGGACATAGGCAGAAGCATTTTACAGGGATACCCCTCTATCCTATTATCATACGGACCCTTATAATTACGGGATACCCCTATCCTGAATTGTTGCTTCTGTGCTTGTTTTGGTGCCCTGTTTTGGGGGCTCACATAGAGGTTCCATAAGGTGCTATGAATCTGAGTAAGGTTGAGGAATTGGGGTTTAGGGTGCAGGGTTTGGGGTTTATAGGTCTGGGTCTATAGGGTTTAGAGTTTGGGTTTAAGCTTTGGGGTTGAGTTTTTAAGATCTAGCGTCTGGGGTTTGGGTTTAGGGTTCAGTGGCTCTGAACCGCGAGCCTAAAGTCCAGAATCCTACCTTGGGGGCACCATCTTCCATGCCATCTTAAGGGGCGTCAGATGTTTGTATCTCTAGACCGCAAACCCTGAACTTCGACAACTAAACTCGGAACTCTAAGCTGACCACCGAGCCCTAAACCAGCAATACCGAAAACTCTAGCCCTAAATCGCGAAACTGCTAAACTCGAACCCGAACCTCAAGCCCCAGCACCCTACAAGCTTCGAGGAACCCAAAACCGATTCCCAGGCACACTCTACACGGGGGACGAGAATGTGAATTTTTGGGAGCTGGAACACAAGGGCACCAATGAGCGCATTATCCGCGACTTGGTTCCTTCAAGGGTTCAGTTTGCCCTCGGCCCTCAACCCTAAAGCCTAAACCCCTAAACACCTAAACCCTGAACCTCTAAACCCTAAAGCCTAAACCCCTGAACCCCTAAACCCTAAACCCTACTACAAGGTTTCCTCGGGGAGTGGCATCAGGGCTGGGTTGGCTTAGCTTGAGCTCCTAAACTTCAAAAATCCTACAAAATCTAGAGTTTAGGGTTACCCATAGGCCCCATAGTAGTTCCTTTTTTAGGGTTCATATTAAGAATCCTACAAGGTAATCCCAAAAAGGAACTACTATGGGGCCTATGGGTATGGGTATAAACCGCCCAGGGCCATGTTACTAGTTCCTGTTCCTTCACCCTTAAACCCAAAGCCCCAAACCCCCAAAACCTCAACCTTAAACCCTAAACCCTAAACCCTAAACCCTAAAGCCTAAAGCCTAAACCCTAAACCCTAAACCCTAAACCCTAAACCAACCAACCAACCAACCTAAGCCCGAAAAGAGCCCAGGCGACAACTCGGAGATCCACTCTGCGGGCGTTGGGGACATCCTCTTCATCAAAGGCGTGAAGTATCCGGATCCTGTGAAAGGCTTGATCCACAGGTGGGGTGGGACCCGGTTTAGGGTTTAGGGTTTAGGGACAACGGAAAGACGGGGTTTTAGGGTTTGGGGTGTGGGTTTAGGGATAGATGCTTTCGGGTCCTGTGACAGGCTTGATCCACAGGTGGGTAACAACCCCCCAAAAAATGCACCTCATGATGTAGTCTAGTTTCGCCCTCTGGCACAAACCCCAACTTCGTAACCGAACCTTTAAACATATCAAGCCGCTGTTGTCCTGAAGCCCAAACCCCCATATTCGTCGTACCCTTAGTAGCCCCAGCTTCCCGCACATAGTAATAAATCTTATAGTTCCGTTTTTTAGATCTAAACCCGTCACCCTAAAACCCAAAAAACTTTTAAACCCAAGTCCTAAACCCTAAACCCTAAACCCTACACCCTAAACCCTAAGCCCTAAACCCTAAGCCCTAAACCCTAAACCCTAAACCTTAACCCTTAAACCCCAAGTCCAGAAAGCCCTGTCCCCACTTGGAGGTTCATGGGTAGTTATAAGTGGAGTTATAAGTAGGCTAACTGGAGTACTAACCCATATTAGGGGACTTATAACCCCACTTATAACTACCCATGAACCTCCAAGCAGCTCCCTGCAGGACCCTAAACCCTAAACCCTAAACCCTAAACCCTAAACCCTAAACCCAAAGGTCACCGGAAGCCCAGTACCACGACAGCGGTCTCGTGCGCAATCGCCTCGTGCTAAAGGTCGATGTGCCCGAACCCGAGGCCCTTGGTTTAGGGTTTAGGGTTTAGGGTTTAGGGTCTAGGGCCCAGGGGCAAAACAAAAATCACACTTGTTTTTAAGGCTTCCTTCTTATGATTTCTTTGTCAAGCTTCTTGAGTTTGGGGTTCAGCTTCGGCTTAGGGACTCGATGAGGGTTTGCGGCTTAGTCTAGGACATGCTCAGGTGGATGGTTGCCGTTATAGGAGCCTTATAGAAGGTCTATATACCTTATCGACGCCTGATAGAAGCCCTATGAATAAGTCTTCTAAATTCGGGCCCCTCTTGGGTCCCCAGTATCGTACGGCACCCTAGTTTCAAGGCCCCTAAAAGGACCCTGACTTAGAGAACTACCCCTATATACCCTAAACTCCCCACCTGTAGTTTCCTCCCAATAACCTATTTTTTTAAGGACATATATAAAGAAATCATAACAAGGAGCCTTAACAAGGTAGGCCCTTCGAGGTCCAGGTATATACTTGGAGGTTGGGGGGACTTAGTAAATGGTTATTTTGTAGACTTATAAGTACTATAACCCCAATTAGGGTCCCTTTTAGGGTACTTATAAGTCTACTTATTCCCTACTTACTAAGTCTCCCGACCCTCCAAGTACTCTAACTTAAGGTATATTCCCAAATTAAGGGGAATTGGAGTCTCTGGGGAGTCCAAAAGGCCTTGATAAGGTTTAGGGTTTAAGGTTTATTAGCTAAAAATCTGGTTTGACTTAAGGTGTATTTCAGTCTCAAACCTTAAACCCTCAAACCTAAGCCCTAAATCCCTTTAGGGTTTAGGGTTTAGGGTTTAGGGTTTAGGGTTACCCTAAACACGGTTCCTGTGTCCCGAAGAAGTCTTGAAGGTCTCGGGTGCTGGCAGTGAGCAGGTAAGTTATCCGCAGACTGTCAAGCTTTCTGGCAACTGGGGGCCGCAAAAGGACACAATCATAAACACATTTTCAGGATACCGGCAGATCTCAGCCATAAGGGCATCAAAATATGGGACATCCGTGTCCTAAGTTTGGCTTATGTCCTTTTTCGCGCCCTGGCACGTGATCGCTGGTGCTCGAAAAGAAGAGAGCTTTCCAGGTTTGTAGCTTCTTGTTCCTGCCTCCTCTGCAGGGCAGCGACGACTACAAGCATCGTCATGTCCACACACGAATCTCTAGACCCTACAAATCCCCAAACGGAGCCTGCTAGCAAAGAGGCACCCTAAACCCTAAACCCTAAATCCCTAACTCACTTATCACCGTTCTGTTGCACCCTAAACTCTAAACCCTAAATCCCTGACTCACCCTAATCTCCAAACCCTGAAGTTATGAGCCCTAAACCTTAAAAAAGGAAACTTATCAACCCCAAACCCTAAAACCCTAAACTGATAAACCCTAAAGCCCTAAACCCTAAAGCCCTAAACCCTGAAGCCCTAAACCCTAAACCCTACACCTGATAAACCCTAAGCCCCCTAAACCATCAAATCCTGAGCTCTACGTAAGATCCTAGTCGGGCTCGGGAGCGCTGCCGCGTGTCCCAGAAACTCAAATATCCTTTAATTCAGGAATAGACCTTCAAGGGCTCCTTAAAGGGATCTACAAGGGTACTATAAGAATTAAGGGGTTCCTTTAAGGGATCTATAGCGTTTAGGGTAAGGAATATACCTTAAATTACAGGAAGATCCCTAATATGATTTAAGGTATATTCCTTAATTAAGGGGTTTTGGAGTCTCTAGGGTTGCAGATCGCAAGGACACCCTGGGTTTAGGCTTCAGGGTTTGTAAGGTTATGGTTTTGGGTTTAGGGTTTATAGGTTTAGGGTTTGAGGTGTAGGGTTTAAGGTTTAGGGTTTAGGGCCTAAGGTGGAGGGTTTAGGGTTTGGGGTTTGGGGCTTTGGGCATGGTGGAAGTGCGCAGTCGCAGTTGCCTTTAAACGTTTGAGCTGCTCAGTAGTTTTCGGAAGCTTGATGTGGGTTTAGGGTTTAGGGTTTAGGGTTCGGAAGCTTGATTTTGCTGAAGGGTCAGCATGCAGTTGAGTGGATGCCAATGGATGGCTTGTTTTTGATGCTCAGATTTGGCGGTTGAACACCAGCTAATCACACTGGGTCGTTTCTGAGCGCCACATGTTGCAGCATTTGATTTTTCAACTAACTTTCCAAAGGTGCTCGAGAATTCATCTCGTGAAGCAATTTCAGCGGCTGATCTCACCGATGAACGCCTTCTGTTGTACCGTAGCCGATATCAGCATCCTAGCCCTAACGGCTTTCGCGTATCAGAAACGTTCAAGACTGAGACGTCTAAAGCCTCTGGTGTGTTCTTCCCTCATAACGGTTTAGGGTTTAGGGTTTAGGGTTCAGGGTTTAAGGTTTAGGGTTTAGGGCTTAGGGTTTAGGGTTTAGGGCCTCATGGCGGGCCACGTGCGGAAGCGGCGATTGGGAAAGGCCCGCATCCTTCTGTGGACTCCTAAACCCTAAACCCTAAACCTTCGGCCATAAAGCCTTATGGTTTAGGGTTTAGGGTTTAGGGTTTACCCTAGGCCATAAAGCCTTATGGTTTAGGGTTTAGGGTTTAGTCCTGTAGAGACTTGTAAGTTTAGGGTGTTAGGAGCGGGAAATTGGCGCTAGCGGCCTCAAGCTGGAGGTTCAGGGGTTTAATATAGGGGCCTTAGTAATTACCTATACTATTTTGGGGGGGTCCTTTGTATAATTATAGTATAATATACCCCCAAAGCCCTATTCTAATTATTGAGGCCCCTATATTAGGCTGTGTGAGTCATTCTGGAGGCTTTTCCATGCTTTGTGGAGTATTGGCGCTGGTATATATGTGCGGTTTGGGACTATGTTCCTTTTTGTTCCTTCGTTCGGGGGCTAGGGACGGTTCGGGGCATCACGACGTGGGACCGGGCTATATTCATAGACCTAACCCCAAGCACACCTCAAACCCTGAACCCGAACCATCCTTGAACCCCAACCCTAAATCTAGGGTTTAGGGTTCAGGGTTTAGGGTTTAGGGTTCAGGGTTCAGGGTTTAGGGTTGAGGGTTTAGGGTTTAGGGTTTAGGATCTAGGGTTTAGGGTTCACCCAAAAAGCCTTAAGCCCTAAACCCTTCGATTAAGCCCTTCACTGACCCTTCACTCCAGACGTAAAGCCCTAAGAGCGAACCCCTTCCCCCCAGACCCCCCGAAAACCAAAAGCCGAAGTAGGCTCCTTGACGTGGGCTCTGTTTCAAAGTGTCTTAACGCTTGAAACTTCCCTAAACCCTAAACCCCCAAACCCTAAACTTCGCTATAATACCATTTGTCTGCCCCTCTGAAGCGCTATTCGAAGGTTTTAAAGGACGCTTCAAACCATTTAAACCCCCTGAGTTAAGGGTTAAGGGTTTAGGGTTTAATTCAAACGGATAAAGAAAACCTTACTTGGAGGTTCATGGGGCTTAATAACTAGGGTTGTAATTAAGGTAACTATACTTATAATTACTTATAACCCCAATTAAGGAACTTATAACCCTAAACCCTAAACCCTAAACCCTAAATGATCCTTTAAGTAAGGAGCTTGTAACTGTACTTACTAAGTCCCTTGAGCCTCCAAGTCTAGGACATTTTCAGGTGGGTAGTTACCGTTATAGGAGCCTTATAGAAGGTCTATATACCTTATAGAAGCCTTATATACCCTAAACTTCCCACCTGTAGTTTCCTTAACCCTAAACCCTAAACCCTAAACCCCTAAACCCTAAACCCTAAACCCTAAACCCTAAACCCTATATACCTTCTAGAAGCCTTATAGAAGCCTTATATACCCTAAACTCCCCACCTGTAGTTTCCACCCTAAACCCTGAACCCTAAACCCCTAAACCCTAAACCCTAAACCCTAAACCCTATATACCCTAAACTCTCCACCTGTAGTTTTCTTTAACCGAGTAGTCGGCCTTGCCAAGTAGACCCCTAAACCCTAAACCCGGCCTTGCCAGGTGCTGGTGCTTTGCACGGCCGCAGCGAGCTCCGGCTGCGGCGCCTTTTTCTGCCAGCGCGGCGATGCGCCGCCTGGTGGCCTTAGCGGTCTTTCCAGGTTTTAGGGTTTAGGGTTTAGGGTTTAGGGTTTAGGGTTGGTTTAGGGTTTAGGGTCTAGGGTTTAGGGTTTAGGGTTTAGGGTCTAGGGTTTAGGGTTTAGGGTTTAGGGTTAAAGGTCTTTCC